GTAAGTTAGCTAATTTGAGGTTCAAAATGTTAGTTTAAAAATGGTTGCCCTACAATGCAGTTTCAGCCAGGTAATGGATACACACAAACAAGAGAGTTTTATCTGTTCTGCATATTGGTAGCTAAATTGACATTTATAATGGTTCTAAGAATAAATTGTCAAACATTTAATGTTTAGTATGAAGCATTACTGAAACTATATTCTTTAAAGTATATTTTATTACAATTTCTCAAGTACCTGTCTATATATTACTAAAACTCTCTTGTTTGTGTGTATCCATTACCTGGCTGAAACTGCATTGTAGGGCAACCATTTTTAAACTAACATTTTGAACCTCAAATTGGCTAACTTACAGAATGCATCCAAAATTTGACAAATTCTATAAAATATTTTATGTCTTAATGCAATATATTACAAAACATTTCAAGTGGTCAAATCCTGATGTTTGACTGTGCTATTTAGTTCAACATGAGCTACTTTCAAGGAAGATGCATCTCTGAATATCTCCCTGAATTTTAAAGAATTTTCCCAGTGAATGCACTACATTAGAAACTCTGCCATTGTTGAAGGTATCTGGTAAGGAAATACCACTGAAACAATGATCTGATGGTTCACAGCTTGTCTAGTACTTTGTAAAATTACACCTAAATTCAATAACGTGATGCACAAACATATTTGTTTTTCTACTGGGGAAAAACACATCATCTAAAATTAAACCAGCAATTCTTCCAAATTGAAGTGGGTACAATAACAGTGTCACCAGGAACAAATTATATGTAACAATATGTCTTATCCCCAACTCATACCCAAGCTCAGAAAATAAAACCATCCACATGGTACTTAATGATGGCAAAGAAATTGGTATTGGTGAGTTCAAACATGCAGACACAATATTTTATTCCAGTTTAGGGCTCTGGAAATTGAACAAAACTGGTGTAATTCAGTAGTATTTATTTGTTCAATTTAAAAGCTACCTCAGTCAACTATGTGCTGCACTGCATATTAAATTAATGAAAAAAGTAGAAAAAAGTATTTCTTACTGTATGAAGAAAAAGCAATAACTAAAAAATCCCAATATCAGTTAACAGGATGATAAATCTCTGTGGCCTAGGACCTCCTGAAAGACCTGTTTAAGGGCCTTCAATGTTCTTTAATGTATATGATGTATCTGGTTCTGATTAATACATCTGGTAATTGGAAAGTGGTTTGGAAAAGTTTTGTCATAAATGTGTTAATATGCCAATACAGTAGAGTACTGTTTTTCCTTGCAGCTGGAACAGTCCAATATAATTTCCTCTCTGGAATGTATTTTTAGTCAGCAAATATTTCTTCAGCATTTTTGCAAATCAAGTGAAGAACTATTTATATTCAAAGGCTTGATCGTTGAAAAAAAAAAGGTCTTTGCTTTTACTTTTGGGGAAATACCGGTATGTGGCAGCATCGGATCGTTAAAAGGCACTGAATTTCACTCCTCCATAAACAGATGTCACCCTGACCACTCTGATGGAAATGGAAACCCAATAAATATTCAATGAATTCAGGGGATCATATCTGCACTATACAAATCTGGACGATTGTGGCATCAGAGAACTCCTCCGGATGTTTAAATCCCAATCATGACATGTTTTGGTGTCCTTTTTGTCCTTTCTTCCCTTGATAACAAGTCACATTCTGCAATGGCTTATTTAGGGCTGCCACCCACCAACCCACGCACGCGCACAGATACCCTCATGCAATACGTCTCATTTAAAATAAAAAAATAAAAAGCTAAACCGAACTGCTACAGCCAGGGCGGTTCAACGCCTCGAAATTCCGCTTGTGTAGGACGTACAGCGTCCCCTCCTCCTCCCGCTGAAAAAAACAAAACGCGCCTTTAGCTATAGGACCTTTCCTCCCTCCGCCTCCAGGGGGAGAGAGCCTGAATAAAAAGTCCCTCTGTTTTCAGAGGGATCTCTATGATCCTGTTGTTGACTTTGCTTTTTGCTCACGTGTCTGCTCCCCTCCTCCTCCTCCAGCTTTCAGGTGAGCATGCGCGCGGGTTTCGCTTGCCATAGCAACCAGGGCTGGAGACGGTAGCAACTGGAATCCTAACAATGGTGAGTTCCTTCGAGGGGTACCGGGAGGGGAGGGGGAAGAGACGCCCGGGAGAAGATGAGGCGGAGGGAGGGATTTCTTCTTTGGGAAGGGGAGCTGGGGTTCCCTCGTTGCTTGGCTGGCTGGCGGTAAGTACTGGTAATAGTGGCAACAGTTTTTTAGATAGTGTTGACGGCTGATGGAGAGAAGGGAACAACAGCAACGGGAATATTCTGGCAAGAGAAGGGGAGCTTTGGAGGAAGGAAGGAAGGAATAAAGAAGGAAAAAAGAAAGGAAGGAAGAAAGGAAGGAAGAAAGAAGGAAAAAAGAAAGGAAGGAAGAAAGAAGGAAGGAAGGGATAAAGAAGGAAGGAAGGAAGGAAGGTGTGTGTGTGTGTGTGTGTGTG